ATTCTTTTTGAATATGTTTTGAATGCAAAAAATATATGTATTTATAGAGTTCAAAACGTTAAAAAATCTGAGAGTTCAGATGACCACGTCCGGCCTCTTGTCTGGATGACCAATATAACAGTTTGTATAGAAAAAATCAGAGGTCGCAACGGTCAAATTTTGGGCCTTTGGAAGTTTCCGGTCGACTGTCGGGTAGTTCAACCTTTTGTACGTTTTGACCACATTTGTTCTGATTTGAAGATTTTGAAAAACATAAACTTTTGGAGAGTATTTTTAATTAATTTTTCAAGATAAGAAGTGTTTTCAAGTCCAAATATTAATTTTTAAAAGTGATTTTTACATTTGATCAATTCATTGTATTTGAACGACTTTTAATGTACAAAATTATTTTTAATGCGTGAAAGGGTTTTGAACTTAAGTATTCATTGCCATCCGTTACTCGTCCCCGACCCGAATACCTCATTATCGGGTTCGGGGCGGTGCCCGCGATATCGGGTTTGTCGGGTCTTTTTTGCTTCCTAAGAATGCGTTGTTAAAAAGTAGGAAATTTTTTTGGCATATGTGTAGAATATTTTGTTGTGTTAATATGTGATTGAAAATGATTTTGTAACAAACCATGAAATAAATTAATGGGTGTCAAACAAACACCAAGTCTTGTCCACCAGGATCCATGACATTGTGCTAAAAGGGTGATCAAATTATTCAAATTTTATTTTTAATCTCATATTTTATTTTACCTTCAACATTTATTCACTTTATGATCAAAAACTTCATTGGATCCACCAACGTTTATTAACTTCATTCGTTAAAATCTATATCAAACAGTAAGTAAAAAATGAATAACTTTGGCATAAAACAACTTTGCAAACACGGGAAAGAATAATTTCAATATATCTAAAAACANNNAATAATTTCAATATATCTAAAAACACAATGTACAGAGAATACTTTAAGAAGAAACCTAGGTAGGAAGATTCATACGTACGTGTCAAATTCTTGAGAAACTGACGGGCCAACTAACTTAACCGCCTCAAACTAGAAACTTTACCGAATTCAAGGTTTTTACCGTATTTACTATCTAAAATATTTACACCCGTTTGTTCCCATTATTTGAATTTTGAATACAAAAAGTAAGGGGTTGTTCTCTTTATATTTCAGTTTTGTGTTTTGAGTTTTGTATTTTGAGTGTCCATTTTGAGATTATTGAAAATATGTTCTTTTTTGCATTTTGAAAAATTGTTTTGAAAACACCTAAAACGCGTTTTGAAAATTTTGACTTGATTATAACTGAAAACACCAAAAACGACAAATTGTCGTTTTGAGTTTTCTTTGTAAATTTTTAACTTGTTTTCAAAAACGTATTTTCGAAAATAGGAAACAGAACGTGTTTTCAGTGTTTTGGAAAATCGAAAACAAAAAACGATTTGAAAATGGTTTAGAGAACGGACCCTAATTTTTTGACCTTTTTCCAATACATGGGTCCCACTGTGAGATGATACAGTCAAAAGTTGCGACTGTTGCTACATGTAACGGTTGGAATTTTCATTAAAATAAGGTAAAATATTGGTTCCAAACAGGCGCTTAATTTAAATTTACATATTAAATTAAATATTTGAATAACTTGTATACCTAAATTAATATCTTTACATTTCTTCTTCTTCTTTTTCTCTATTTGGAAAACAATACCTTTATATTTCTTTTAATTTTTTAAAACCAATATTTATTTATTTTATTAACTTTTTACTAATATATTTTAATTGATTACTCTCTGATATTGACTATAACAGGAAAAAGACAAAAACGAGTCAAAACGCGGAATTATCCTACGTTATCTCATTTATTGGCTTATGGGTGTGAGACCACCGTCCATTACCGCGTAAATATATTGTTAAACCAAAAACGCTACAAGCATTTGAATGCAGAATGGATTAGATTATTGAATATTCAAATTGGGCTATTTGGACGGGTCCGCAAGAAGATAAATCGTTCGCCAACTTGGCTCAGCTCGAACACGAGTCTAGTTGGCTAGACTCATTCCGACATGAGTTGTGGGTCGAGTCGAACCAAATTTTCCCCATGTGAGTCGAATTTTTTCAAATGAGCAAGACTCGCACTCGACTAGTCCCAAAGCGAGCACAAACCTTCTTGTGTGGTGGGCCATGCATGGTAACATTACTCAATACTTATCCGTAAAGTCGGTGTGGAATCTTTATTTTATGTGGAATTTAGCGGCTCCACTCGGCATTGTCATAAATGCATTGAGATTTGTAAATTCTAGAGGTCAAGTTTCATTATCGCATGGGCTTCTCTTACCGTGGTTTTTTTTTTTTTTTTTCCGAGTAACTATTCAAATATTGAACTGTTTGAGTAACTATTCAAATATTGAACTGTTTGATTAGGATTGAGTGGAACCAAATAGATAATTATGGACCACAAGTTCTATTAAACATGTTTGACAACTTCAAACTTCATTAATCGAGCTTGTTCAATTCCACGCGTACTAAGTGTTCAATTCCATGTGTAATAAGTATCTTTTGTCCCCTGTTTTTTTGGCATTATTGTAGGAAGAAAATGAAAAAATTGACCATTTTTTTCAAAAACTGGGTCCCACCATGAGATACAATGGTAAAAAATCACGGCTACCAACGGTCATAAATCTTCTACAAAATGGAAAATAAATCAATAATGCCAAACAAACAGGGACTTGATTATTAAACATGTTCGACATCCAAATATTCTCTAATTATGAAGCAACCCATATTTTTTCATGAAAAAAGAAAGAAAATAAAAATAGTCGTCACGCTCCCGTTCTTCTTACACAACCTAATTAGTTATAGATTAACTAGCAGAAGTTTCTAATTTAAATTAGTGTGAAGATATATCGCGATAAATAAAATAGGGTTTGAAGGTAGTTGTGATAATTAAGTCAATTAACACACGGCCCAATGATAGGTAAATAGCAAGTTGAAACACAAGGCTTTCGATGAAATTAATATAAATATTGTATTTGAATAAATATTTAACATTCTGATTTTTCGAGATCTTGGCATTACCGTACGATAATATGAATTTTTTAAAAAGATTAATTAGCTAGTTTATCTATTTTGAATGTTATATGATCAGCATTAATTAAATTAGGTTGCAAACGAAACACTCTTGTTCCGTACAAAGAAAATTTATTGCTATGAAATTAATTAATATATAAATTAATTATGTATGCCCCCCCTTCTGTGAGCTAAATCTCCACTGATGGGGACACCAGTTTATGTTAGAAGACAAACCCACCCTATATTATAAAAAAGGATGAGCCACATCCTTGACGGCCCTCACCTAATTTGTTCTGGGCTTTGGTGAAAAAGGTAAATCGCAAGTTATACCTTTAAGGGTATATGATGGAAGACTGCTTGTACACTTGCACTTACTCAATGATCAAATCCATATTTCAGAATTTGAACCCTTGACGCGACAGTCTCAAACAAAATTGAAATTTTTCAACCTTCCCCTTTTACCACTTGGAGATGTGCCCTGGGGGCAACCCAACCTATATTATAAGATGATGATGATGATGAAAAACTCTTTTCAGCTGCTAAATCCAAAAGAAAATGGTCGATTGGGCTCGGCTCGCGCTCGCTTCGGAGCAAACATTGCATGAGCAACTCGCTAGGAAAATTTTTGTCCTCGGTTCATCCTATCGGGTCACCTAAGGGTGGGGCGAGCCAAGTCGGATCACATGCTCCTCGCTTCATTATTTTCTTTTGTAAATCCATACTTTATTTGTATATTTTGAAAAAAAAAAAAAATTTATATATATATAACGAAATTCTAATTCAAATTGAGGCAATCAAAACGGCTACTTGAATATGATTTGGTCCCGCCCAAACGTGTGGCTGCTTTTGCAGCACCAATTGTAAGTCATTTAAAGGGCTTGCAAGCCAAAAAAGATGAGTCGACCAGTAAGTCACACGAGATTTTCCGGGTTCGGTTTATCCCCCGACTTGTCGTCGAGACAAATAGAGCCATCCACTCTTGTGCACGAGACAAGCCAATGGATTAGATTATTGAATATTCAAATTGGGTTATTTGGATGGGTCCACAAGAGGATAAATCTTTCGTTGACTTGGCTCGTCTCGAATACGATTCTAGTTGGCCTGACTCATTCCGACATGAGTTGTGGGTCGAGTCGAACCAAATTTTCCTCATGCGAGTCGAACTTTTTTAAATGAGCAAGACTCGCACTCGACTCGTCCCAAAGCCAGCACAAGACTTCTTGTGTGGTGGGCCATGCCTTAAAACATTACCCAATTTGATCCATGTTTTCATTTTTATTCAATATAAGATTTTATCTCTTAACAGTTAGAAGATTATAATATGAAAACTCTTAGAAGTCAATCAAATTGTCGTCTTTTCACATATGATATTTGGGGAAATGTAGATGTTCTAGAGTCTCGAATTCACTAAAAGTTAAAATTTGCAAAAGGAATACCATAAATTAAAGGATAAGCACGAAGTTATTTTTATTCAATAAGCAATCCTCGTCCATGTATGGAGCATGGATTGGGACTTGACTCCTCACGCCATAAATGCAATTTAAACTCTAGTTGGAAAATGGAGTATCTAATAAAATTTCGAACATCAAACGAAATTTCGATCACATTTTTAACTCAAACGTGGGCCAACAAGTATATGCTACTTCACTTCTTTACTCAAGACCAATTCAACGGCCGAGATTTCACGCAAGATCACATGGCACCTTCCAATTCTACCTATTATATATGAATTATGCTACTTGTACATCACCCCTTACACAAGGGGTGACATAATGCACAAGTGGCACCTCCTCATTGGAGGGGTGCCGAGGCCCCACATGTGGGCCGAGGCTCCCCTCCAATGAAGATGCGCTACTNTCAAATTGATTTTAATTTCAAATGGGATCATCAACAAGAAATTGGATTTCTTCCGTGAAATTGATTTTAATTTCATTTGGAATCGTTTCCTTAGCCATGGCGATCAAATTCTCGTCTCTGTTCATTGTTCATTTCGTGTTTAATCAATTACCAGTGATTTGGTCTATAATTCTGCCATGGACGAAACCTCCTTATTTATACATTATTATGAACTGCATCATCATCACCATAGCCGCCGCCTCGCGCTTTCACAAAACTACATCCTCACCATCCATTCCACCTAAGCGGTTAGTTTCAATCAGAACACCTCCGCCGTTAGATTTTGCCTCCTTTCCAGTTCAGCCGGAGATTAGCGCTGTAGATGAACCCCCATTGCTGGAGTACGAGAGCGAGAATAGGATCCTGGAGGTGAAAGCGGTGCTAGTAAACGGCACAAAAGTCGATATCGACCAAACTGAAGAAGAAATTGAAATTGAAACTGATACTGAATTTGCCGTTGAAGATAAGTTTGTTACCTCGAGTTATACGTGCACTCCGCGACATAGGATAAATTCTCCAGATGTCCAATCGGAGTTTCTACCGCCGGTGGGGGAGAAACCTTTGGTTCCTTCAACATATCGTCAACGGACCAATTCTAAAGGTACTCAAGCATTAGATTTTTAGCATTTTATACCTTCTTTCCACAATTATAAGCTGCTCATTTCCTGATTTGGAATTTTGAATAAATATGATTTCTTAAAGGTTAAAAAAGTCAATTGTATTTTTCAGGTGTAAAGGTACGGCGAGCGACAAAACCGGAAAAGCTAGAGACGTTGGAGAATAGTTGGAAGATAATAACGGAAGCAAGTCAAGCGCCACCCACAAAGCCTCGTAATAAGTCAGATAGGTGGCAACACAATGGGCATCATTTGACCACAAGTCGACCGAATCGTGTACCAAAATCGAAGACCTTCAAGAATCATGTGAACTATGAGTCCCCATTCGAAGCTCCATTAAGATTGTCTTCAAGTGCTAAGATTTCAAGGGAGTCGTCATCAAGTCAAGATGAGTTGAATCATAGAGTCGAGGCATTCATCAAGAAATTTAACGAGGAAATGAGGCTGCAAAGGCAAGAGTCACTCGATCAGTATATGGAGATGATTAATCGTGGAGTCTAGACTATACAAATTTCAGCATAAAAAATTCTAAAGAAGATCGAGAAAAAAAAGTTCCAAGAACATTAAAAGCTTGAAATTTGGGTTTAGTTTTTAGGGGACTTCTTTTATTTTGTGTTAACAAATCGATTTATGATAATTAGAGCTGTTCTCTTGTCCAAGGTGGGAAATCTTATAATGCCAATTCGGAGACAACCCAACGTTGGGTTCTCCTGCTACATCAGCAGGTGAGCAGTCTTATTCTGCCCACCGTGGGCAGGAGAACATTTCCATTATGATAATTAACAGGAAAATGTCTGTAAAGGAACGCAGATATGTTGTTATTTTATCATTGTAAATATGCAAAACTTTATATATTGGAAATATAGGGTTTTTTTCTTTTTTTCCTTCTGTATATGTTCTATCATTCACCATTGTCATGGATTTAATATCCGTTAAAGCTTAAATTATGTGATTTTAATATCCGTTAAAGATGTTATTTAACCTTCAGATTCATGTTTACTTACTAAATCTATATAATTTGATAATAATAATATAGTTTTAAAAATATAAAAAATATATATTTATATATAATTAACCCATGATCTTTTAAGAACACTCTTAATGATATAACTAAATTTTAAAAGGATAATTTTACTCGGTGCCCGTTTGAGCCCCATTTTTATTTTAAGATAGTATTTTAGAATAGTGAATTGATGGAGAATGCGTGATTAAAAAATAAGGAATTTTGTTGATTTGCATGTAATATTATTTTTTTGAATAATGTGTAATTGAAAATAAGATAGAGAAAAAATATATTTTGGAAATAACGGGATCAAACGAGGGGTTAATATTTTTTTATAACAGTGGATGTTTGGGCCAACATGCGCGCACTTCGACTAATTCCACGGGGCCCTGAAATTTATAACCGGGTACTCACCTCGGTGGCCCTGAAAGGACTCGAACTGGTGACAATTGGGGAGCAAATCCAAGATCTGACCAATTGGACAATCTCTCAAGCTTAAAACAAGGAGTTAATTTTCTCGTTAATAAATATTATATTTGGCCAATAGGCATTCTTTTGTTCCAATTTTGAACTTGATCAACGGTCAGAGGTTAGACAATTTTTTAAGATTACACAACATACACATTCATAGACATGCATGCATAGTTGGGGACTATATTGCCTTATATATGTACGTATGGTAATTGCGAGTCTCATAAACGGTATACTTGGTGAATATTATGTCCATGTTTGGTTTTTAGTAGTATATTTATATCTTGATGATTTGTTTCTCGTGAAAAACTATTTGTTGTTAAACACATTGCAACGGAGGAACTTACACATCACTTTTCGCAAATAATTGCGCATTATTTACAAGATTTTAATTTGCTTAATAAAATATTTAGTATATCTCGTACAATATACATCGTTAAAGATACTATTTTATGACAACTGCAATAATTAATTTTTACTTATCGTTTTGGAAATTATAATAGACACGTTATCATTCACATCAAGCATACTAATAAAAAAGTTACCCTCTGTTTGGAAAGCAAATTTGTAAATAACGTGTAAATCTAATCAAAGTTTTAATGTTAATTTTAATAATATATTCATTATTATTTACACGTTTCGTGAAATCTACTACTACGAAACTTGTAACTACAAGAAATGAATAGCAAATTAAAGTCAAATTCACTATTCATATTAATTTCATCTAAAGTCTTTGTTTCAACCCGTTCACACTTGCAATATATCTATTATTGGGCCAAGTATTAATTCATTTCAGAAGCCACTTAGTACCAAAAAACTACCTTCAAAATATATTTTATACTTTTTGGTAACTTTTTCCAACAATAGCTAAAATATACTATGAATAAATTTTTAATTAATAAAATAAAGATTTTTTTAATAAAAATCCTAACTTCAACCCTTTTTATTGATTCAAATGTTATTTATGAAACTCAAAAGCTGCTTATTAATGTGTCTGTATAATTTTTGAAAAATATTTTATCTAAATAGAAGAGCTTTAAAAAAAAGATGGTCTGAAAAACTTCTTTACAAAACTCTTCTATATGCCCCCGTTTGATTTACATTATTATCTCATTAAAATAAAAAATATGACCGTTATCCATCACATTCACATCAATATTTAAATTCAAATTTTCTATCTCTTGTGTGGGTCCCAATAACGACTATATTTTTCATTCTCATTTTATAATAATTTGGCTTAAACAGATAATATAATTCGTGTCAACCGGATCGTTAATGACCTGCGGTTGTGAGTGGAACAGCTAAAATTTGGACAGAACAAAGGTCCCACTCTGAGTTATCAAACTACCGAAGAATAAGGTTTTGGAGTTTATTCAGGCTAATTCCAGACGTATATCCCTGAATATTCTATAATTTTCAAGTGGGAATGGGCGGTGCTCCCATCCACAAGTCAATACATCACATATCGCAGAAATGTCCTAATCAGTTTATGTTTAATTTCAGACTCTCAACTGCATTTTGTCATATTCAGTGGTCGGGGATATATATATATATATATATTTGATTTAATGTTTGTTTATACAAAAATCAGATAATAGTGAATATTGTTAATAATAATAATATTACAAAATTAAATTAATCTATATACCCACCCTATCAAATTTCATTCTCAAATAGTAAATCTTTCCTCATTCTTCTAACTTCTCTCCCTATCTTTTCTCTACTCTATCCATTTTCTCTATCGCCTCTCTCCTCCCATGCAGCAATGCTGATTTGAAAATGGTGTTGGTTTTAAAAAATGGTAGTGGTGACTCAGATCCAACGGTGCTGATTTGAGCGTCGTAGCAACGTTCACAATGCCACTGTGAGGCATTGTTCTGCACGCCACCGTGCGGTGTCCGTTACGACGATTGTCATGGTTTTGGGGATGGTCAATCTGAAAATGGAAGCGGCGCTGATTTGATTGTGGCAACAACGTTCATAGCGTCGTTGTAAGGCATTGATATGTGCAGTGCTCGCCATAGTGGTGGTAGTAGCGGCAACGCTGGTGGTGAAGTCGACGGTGCTGGTGCGGTGGCAATGCTGATGGTGGTGGTCGTTGCGGTGGTGCGATGATTGGGGATGGGATGGGATGGGGTGGGGTTGTTTGTGACAAATTGTTTGGTTGGTTGTAACCAATAAATTGGTTAATTTATGATCGATAAATAGTATACGACCTAAAAAATGTGATTGTGACTCACAATTTATTAAGTTGTGATCGATAAATAACGTGTGTCCAATTAATTTGATAATTTGTAACCGCGAAATAAGTTGTGATTTATAAAATTTGATATTTGACACCAATAACTTAAGACCAATAAATAATATGTGACCTAAAAATTTGAGTTGTGGCTTATAGATTTTTTGATTTGTGATAAATAAATAAATAAATTGTGAGCTATAATTTTTTTGATTTGTAATCGATGAATAAATTGCGAGCTATACAAATTTTTATTTGTGACCTTGAAATAAATTTGTAACTTATAAATTTTTTGATATATAATTGTGACCTTAATATATAGTATATTTTATAAATAAAATTTAATTAATTTCTGATTTTTGAAGTTTTAAACCGTATTTCTTAGTTTTCAAATGGATCATACTTAATCTCTTAAATATGAAATTTTCCCTCAAAGTTATTGGACTTTGGACAGCTAAATAAAGTGTGAGCCGAAATATGTGTAGAGACAAAATCCATTGGAGTTGTATTTCACGGTAGGCTGAAATATTTATGAAAATAAATAAATAGAGTTATGTTCCTCAATTCATATGTGATTCTCATTCTTTGTGCATCCCATCCCCACAAGAATAATTCAAATAAAACATATTTAAGAGGAAGATTAAGAACCCACAATAAAAAAATCAAGAAGAAAGATTGAAACAATCAAGATTAACGAGTAAGAAGTAAATATTCAAAAGATTGCAAGTTAATCTTCAAGATTCAAAGACATGGATTGAGGTATGTTCTGAATTAATTATTTCTCTTAGTGATTTGACATGGAGATCTTGATTCTTGACAATATATATGTGAAGTTTCATAAAATTTAAGTTTTATAAATATTTAACAATAAAAACCTAAGCTCTTTTTGTTGTTAAAAAAAGGAAATTAAAGATGAGGTAGATGATGTACACAAATTTTCAATCGCACATATCATCAACTTCATCAAAATTTATTAAAATTTGATTTTTAACTACACCAAACATGAACTTAATCTATTTGGTTCAGAATTTATTGAANTTTTTTTTTTTTTTTAACTTTCATGCAAAATTATGAGTTGTTTCATAAAAATGGAATGTTAGTTGGCCATTGATGTTATGATTTGTCGATTTCGCAGGTTTGGAGTTATCGCTATCTTTATTTTTGGCTAGATCATATTATTGAAAGTTGAAACAATAGATATACAACTTTGTTGTTATATATCGTTGCCTTGAACTAATGAACGGTTTTAGTTGAATGCAATCTATAGGAGGGCAAATGTTTTGTTATCGTCATAAATAAAACTTGCATCCCTAACAAAAAAGATAGAGGCATTCGATTCTCTCTTAATCAAATAGTTGAATACAACTTCGACTTTAAATTATCTATTTTTAGTGTCATATAAGTTTTTATTCTACTACATGATTCAAATTATGGGAGTAAGAGTAATATTTATGCACTTAATATTTAAGATGTTTGGTCAAATAAATGTGATTGAGTTACTAGTAATAAACAAGACCCATGCAAATAATAACTAGTAAATACCCAGGTAAAGGAAAAGAAGAAGAAGAAGAAG